GAAACCGTCTAGCAAAGGTATTCTTTGGACTGTCGCTCTTCTGAATTTTAGTTTTTGAAGATGCTTATGTTTTCTTCTCAAGAAAAGAAAGATTTTTCTTAATTCTTCCTTTCTTGTCTCAAGTGATACAGTCTGCTCCACAAACCGGAGAGTTAAACCCTCAGACTGCTCCTAAAATACAATAAACTAGTACAAAGTATTTTCATTAGCTGGGAGACCAAAGAGGTTGGTGTGGAGCTGGAGAGATGACTCAGTGTTGTAGAGCACTGGCCATTCTTTCAGACGTCACAGGTTCAGTTCCCAGCACCCACATGTCAGCTAATACCTGTCTGTAACTACAATTCCAGGGGATCTGACATGTTTCATAGGGTGGTCAGGCTCCGCCTTCTTTAGAAATCCGGAACTGGGCAAAGACTTGAAGAGTGTCTCTAAGTGAGGACTGGTGTGGCCAGCGCTTTGTGTCCTGCTGTGGGGCGGCCAGGAAGGGAGGGCAGGACTCCTAGGCTGCAGAGTGAAACCCTGTCTGATTTGCCCAAAGAAGAAAGTAAGAAAAAGAGGGGAAGAAATAGTAACTAAGAAGGTGTTGATAGTAATCTATCGATGGGAATGACTGAAATTTTTTAGGCTTCAAAATTTGGAAGAAGCATAATATACTTTGGGGAAATTGGTTGTTTTATTTGATATGAGCTGTGGACTCAATTTGGTTGTATTTTATCATTAGTTAACATTCTTTTGGAAAATAATTCTACTGAACTTTTATTTCTTTCTTTTGGAAGATTCTCCAAATCTTTCCTAGGCATCTTACAGGTGTTTAAAAATGACTACTGATAGGTGTGTCCACATTTAATTCAAGCCCTAGAGAGGTAGAGGCAGGTTGACCTCTGTTTCAGATTGATCTACATATTGAGTTCCAGGACATCCAGTGTTATGTAGAGAGACTCTATGACAAAAAACAAAAGCAAAAGAGGAAAAAATAAAAAACAAAAAACAAGAGAATCACCCTATTATCTATATTTATCCCACAATGCCTCTAAGACCTAACTTAATTCTTGAAGAAAATTTTGTAGATGAATAATGTAGATGATTGAATTGTGCTGCCACATATTCCTAGACTGTCGTTTAAACTGAATGATTGCGAGACTGATAGCATAATAGTCCTGTGTCTTTGCTCAGACTGCAAACATGGCCTTATTCATATATTATAGAAGGCATTTGGAATGATTTAGATACAGTTTTTCAAAAGTATAATGTTTACTTTTAAATAACTGGGTTTTGACTGTAAGGAAACTACTGTTTTGTCTTTATTTTGGGAGGTAAAAGATTTCAGACAATGAGATGGCCATGTTTAGATTATAAGTTAAGTGAACCAAATTGGATTTATACTCAGTGTCTAACCAGCTTCATAGTTTGCACAGCACTTTCTTAAAATTATGAATTCCATAACACCTGTTCCTTTTTAAATTTTTTGTAGGGATAACTTTGTCTTTTTAGATGAAAAACCTTAGTTAAACATTGAGAAAAGTTACAGAATGGACTTGTTTTGTGATAAAAGCTGAAGAGCAGAATTGCTGGCTTTAATGACACTGAATTCTGTCACTTTCAGAGGAGTATAATTTCTATAAGGGAAGTGGTCTGTAAAATTGTAGCGCTCCAGATTTTAGTATAGCGACCAGAAAGGCTTTGGATCGGATTGCGTTTGGCTCAGTGTTGTGAGGCCGTAATCAGCTAAGTACCGTAATCCTCCTTAGGGTACATTCTCACTTGACCTGCAGCTATATACAGCCGCACAGAGACGGCGTCTAAATAACCTGGCCTTCCGCGTCCATCGCTGCAGTGTGGCTTCCTCCTTGAGCAATTGCTGTTTAACTTTCGTAGTCGAGGTTTGTAATAAAATGACTGCAAGCCGAGAGCTTTCAAACCATCTGATTAAGGATGGCTCCTGGGATTCTGAAGGATTAAGAGAAAGCACGGCCTGGCGTCATGTTGATGTGTTTTCGTCAGCCTGAGGCCTCTTGCCCGACAGATGTGCATTGGTAGAACAAAGGTAAAAATAAAAATGCTAAATATTATTGTGATGTGTAAACATTTTTCATGCTTTTTACAAATCTAAATCGACTTGTTAAGCTTTAGTAGAGGGGCTGCATGCGTGGGGCGTGTATGAGGCGTGTTCCACATGGCCACAGATTTGGTTAGATTCGTGATGTACTCTAGTTTAAGAGCTTTGAATTTTGACTTTGCAATATTTGATCTAAACTATATAGTCAGCGTTAAAATTGTATTCATGAAGTATTATTTTCATTCAAATTTGCAAAATACATGTTTCACAAAGCATTTAAAAAGATGGAGGTATTGTTTCAAATGTTGGAACTTTTGAATGTCAGCTATGTAGTCTTTCATTTTTAAAATGAGAGTTATTGAATGTAAAATGATGGTGGTTTCTGGTTTTTTATTTTTCTAATTCTACTCAATATATTTATTTATAAAATAGTTATTCTTAAATAATCTTTACCAATAAGATTTTTTTGTTGGAATATATGGCTAGTGCTAAGTTGTAGTACTGTAAAATCCAAATTTATATATGATTTTCAGTGTCACTCAGATTCTTAAAAGTTTTCTATATCATTAGTTAAGAGTTTAAAATATTTTAAGGCTTATCTTTTCATGCATTCTTTCATTGTCCTTATAAACAATTTCATATGTCTTCTGCTCTATTTTCAGTGATTTGATATTAATTGATAAATATGGTCAGTATTATTCTGGTATCGTTACCACAAGCCAGTTAAGCAAGTCAATGGAAATCATAAAAATAGCAGGAAAAATTAATATGCAATATATAAACTTAAACTGTCCCTGGGATATTAGAAAAGTAGCTTAAATTTGGAAAAAATATATATTTTTATCATTTTCTCATTCATCACCATGGTTTTTCAGGCATAAAGTTTTAAATAGTTGATATATTTCTTACTCAAATTATTATGCATCGTTAAATAAAGGTTTATAATGGAACATCTGGTGCATTGTACAGCAGAGTATTTAGAAATAGGCTGGAAGTTTGTCTGCCTGACTAACAGTTCTCAGCAACTGAGACAGAAATGCTGCTCTGTACGGCGGATAGACATAGGATCTCTCAGATGTGTTTCCTGTTAGTGGGCTAACATTACTTTAATATGGTCAAAGAGGAAAAGAATTGTAATCATACAGGCTTAATACTGAGAAGTAGGTGGGCAGAAACAGGGAATTTAAGTATGTGCTGATGTGATTATATCAGGAAATAGGAATAAACCAATGGAAGACAGGAAAAAGGTGAACCTTTGGTTCTTAATTTCTCAGAATCATTGAATGATTAACCCAGATTTCTAGGTGAATTACTTTGAATTATGACTTATGGTTGAGTATTATTAGATACTTTATTATCCTTTTAGAGAAACATACACAGTATCACTTATTTCGCTTGTCATTTTTTTCCTAAGAATAACAGAAACTCAGGCTTATTTCATAAACTCTTGTGCAGGCAACATCCAGATTAGACATATCTGTGCAGGCTGGACACCACTGTCCGGATTAGACATATCTGTGCAGGCTGGACACCACTGTCCAGATTAGACATATCTGTGCAGGCTGGACACCACTGTCCAGATTAGACATATCTGTGCAGGCTGGACACCACTGTCCAGATTAGACATATCTGTGCAGGCTGGACTCCAGTGTCCAGATTAGACATATCTGTGCAGGCTGGACACCACTGTCCAGATTAGACATATCTGTGCAGTCTGGACACCAATGTCCAGATTAGGTATATTTGAATTTTGATGGAGTTTCTTTAGTTCCTGAAATTTTAAAATTAAAAAGACAGTATGTATGAAATAATTCATGATGTACTTAGTAGATATTTTCTTTTCCAAAAATTAATATGTCAGAGTAACTGATGGTATATTATTTATTTTCAAGAATCTTGCAATGGAATGTTACCTGAGTTTTGGTAGAGTTTTAATATATTAAAGTGTACTGTAGTACTTCAAGGTTTATTTTAAGTAACAGGACCAATAATCCTCCCAATTTCAGATTTCAACCACTGTTCCACCTTACTTAAGCCCAATAGAAAGGAGCACATACACCATGATTCGGATGCCATAGGAGTATTTCATAGTCTTTACACCAAGTGATTCCTAGTTTAATACTGAATTCCTATAGAATTATTAGAAAAAATAGCTGTTTTAGCCAGGGACTGACTGTGAGAACTGAATTCTATAATCGGAGGTAAAGTTTCTTATTTGTTGGTTACAGTTAGGATCCTCTGTTAAGATTATTTACTTTATACTTATTTTCAAAACTTTTATATTGTTTCCTCAAGGTAGGAATAAAATTGTTTTAAGCATGATTTGATAATATTCTACTAAGATCCATAATACTTTAAGCTTTTGTTTAAACAAATTAGCATGATGAAGCTTTGGTATCGATGTTATAAGATTGTACTTCCTTAGGATTATTCGGCAGGATGATAATTGGAGATAATAATGTTGCATTCATGTACGTGTTCATCATCAATGATTCAGTGTGCGACATCAGTCCTTACCCAATATCTGCTTGTTAAAATAATCTCAGTCAAGTGTAGAATCCAAGTCTCTTATTTAAAAATACAGACTCTCTGAGATTAGGCACAATAAGTGTAACTAAGAAATTCAGATCCTGCATCTACAGTATAATTTTCATGATATACACTTATCATAATGGGTTTTTTCTTTAGTCATTTGTATAAAAATAATGCCCAGAGTAAACTGAATGTTCTATAATATGTACTTGCTTGCATGCCACATGTGCATAACAGGTACACATATACACACGGTGTTGTGTAGGTTAATATTATCATATTTTTAAGCTGTGTTTTCACAAGACGAGACAAAATGATCTGTCTACCTGAATGTATGTATCCCCCTGTCAGTAAACCTGTGAAGTGTAACTTGCTTAAATGTCATCTCAGAGTCTTTTTCTCTGGTTTCTAGGAAAAGAAGTCCATCAGTGTCCAGGGATCAAAATCGAAGATACGACCAGAGTGAAGAGAGAGAGGAATATTCACAGTATGCCCCTTCAGACAGCACAATGCCTAGATCGCCATCAGATTATGCTGATAGACAATCTCAACGTGAACCTCAGTTTTATGAAGAACCTGATCATTTAAATTATAGGGATTCTACCAGGAGAGGCCATAGACATTCCAAAGAGTATCTTGTAGATGACGAGGATGTGGAGAGCCGAGACGAGTATGAAAGACAGAGGAGGGAGGAAGAGTACCAGGCACGCTACAGAAGCGATCCGAATCTGGCCCGGTATCCCGTAAAGCCACAGCCCTATGAAGAACAAATGCGGATCCACGCTGAAGTGTCCCGAGCACGACATGAGAGAAGGCACAGTGATGTGTCTTTGGCAAATGCTGAACTAGAAGATTCCAGGATTTCTCTGCTAAGGATGGATCGACCATCAAGGCAAAGATCTGTATCTGAACGTAGAGCTGCGATGGAAAATCAACGATCCTATTCAATGGAAAGAACTCGAGAGGTTCAGGGACACAGTTCTTATCCACAAAGGACCACAAATCATAGCCCCCCCACTCCCCGGCGGAGCCCTATACCGGTCGATAGACTGGACATGCGGCGCACCGACTCTCTGCGGAAACAGCACCACTTAGATCCCAGCTCTGCCGTCAGGAAAACGAAACGGGAAAAAATGGAAACCATGTTAAGGAATGATTCTCTGAGTTCAGACCAGTCGGAGTCAGTGAGGCCCCCGCCACCAAAGCCTCATAAATCCAAGAAAGGAGGTAAAATGCGCCAGGTTTCGCTGAGCAGCTCCGAGGAGGAACTGGCGTCCACACCAGAGTACACGAGTTGCGACGATGTTGAGATCGAGAGCGAGAGCGTGAGTGAGAAAGGTAAGCGCTGCCACGCGTGCCCTGCAGAGTGAGCCTTCCTTCCGGAGCTAGTTCCGCTTGTAGTCAAGCATTTTAAAGGCGTTGGCCATGTGAGAAAAATCCTACAAGAACAGAGTGCCTTGTTATCCTTGTATAAAAAAGTCGTTTTTAAAAACTCTTTCTTGAGTGAAGGCGTCCTTGCGTTATTAGAAGGCATATGTACACAAGCTTATTAGTTCTAGCTTGAAAAGTGACAGCTTTTGTATTATTTATAAAAGTAGGAATGTGTTCATGATAGAACACTTGAAACATTGCTCAAGGTATTTTAAAGAATGAAATAGCACCCTACCCCCTTTCTAAGAAAGAGCTGCTGTTGTCCTTAGGCTTCCACCCCTTTTCTCTGAATGTAGAGTTTTCAGAGTTATAAATTAGTATCACACTGGAAATAGCTTCGTGTTTTTCAATTGCTGTCATATAGTCTTATTTTCAAGTCATTTAATACTCTTTAGAAACTTAAGTGACTGCACTTTGTTCTATCATAAGAATATATCATGATATTTACTTGTTTGAGGTATAGAAATTTACTGTAAATGTTATGTAAACAATATTGTCTTGATCTTTACGTATAATTTTTGCCTGCCCCCGTATATGTGTGTGTGAATTTTTGATTTTATACTTTAATTCATATTTTAGAGTTGCTTTCCAGAAGGTTCTTAGCATTTTCTGTGCTATTTTCACGTGTGCTTGAACTTTTTGTTTTATATCACCAAATTTTTGTCTACTGAATGGGTCACACAAATACCATATCTCATTATCTGAATTTTATCTAATTTTATTGTGATATGAGCCATCTGTTCATCCCTTTATTCTTCCTGTCTACTTCTTCTGGATTTCTAGTTTTCTCTTATTAATTTATGAGTTGATTTTTGTATTAGAATTTTTCTCTAATTATCTGTTATTTTGTTAAATTTACTTTCTATTTGGATGGTTGTCTATTAATTTCCTTGATCATTTGGAGATAGCATGCTTAGTACAGCTACAGTTGAGTTTTCTTTGTTGATATTTTTCATTATGGCCATCCTTAGACACTTTTTATTCATCTCTAAATCTATTAAGTAATTAGATATATATGTTTCCCTTAACATTATTTTTAACCATTAACTTTTTCCTCTGGAATTTATTTTGATACATAATGAAGCATATTAGATTGGTGAGTATTTGACATGAATTCTTCATGTCAACTTCTGCTTCTCCTTCCTTTCAGTTATGTCATGATGTTTAGTAGATAGTCTTTTTCTTTTTTTAGAATAATCAACAGTAATAAGTAGAGGAATCCAGGGCATATAAAATTATAAGTCATATAAAATTAATATAGTGATTTTATACTGTAGCATAAGTCATTAGAAAATACAAATCAAAAGTAGTTTTTTACCTAAAACTAGAACTAGAAAATGTGACTAAAAATAATTATCAAATCATGATGGTACTTGCAGGAAATATGATAAAATTTTCCTCATAACACAGGAGGAACAGAAGTTCTTTCCTGTTCCTATGCAGGAAGACTAGATACTGTAGTGAAATGTCCCACACCGTGTCGTGAGGTCGATAACAGCCGCGGTCTCACTTGGGCTTTCCAGTGCCCTGTCTTATAAAGCTAACAGCTGCAGGAAAACAGCCAGGTGTTGTAGGGAGAAGTCACCTGACTAGGCACAAAGTGAAAATAATAGCAAGTGTGGCTTGCTAGAAAAATGGACAGATCAGTGGACTTAATGTAGTATTTTAGAAAGTCATGAATAATACTGTCTAAAAGCACTACTGTAAAAAGAGGACATGAAATTTTAAACAAATGGGTCTGGGAAATGCACATACAATGGAAAAATTAAGATACACCCCATTTCGTAATTGTTACTTTCATTTGTGAGACTTGAGAGAACTGAGTTAACAGAAGTGTAACTTCTAAATGGCACTGTAGGTCTCAGTCAGTTTCATTAAAGAATATGTAGGAATTTCAGTTTCATTGAAAAACATGCTTTAAGTAATAGGATTCAATACATAATTTAAGTATATTTAATATGAAATGTGGTGATTTTCCACACTTCATAGGGTATGTATTATGAAAGCTTGTTTTTGGTGGTTTGGTTCCTATTCCATCTGGTCGAGAGATTGCTTACCCTTTCCTAAAATAATGCCTCTGTTTACCAAATAAGAACATATTTTACCAAAACTCACAGAGATGCTTCACTGTAGAACCTGGACGAGTCTAGGTGACAGCATGCAGGGGTATTATGTCCTAAGGTTCTAAAGTAGCGACATTAAAACTCCCATAAATTAACTCTACGTTTGTTACACTTATACATGATACTGTTAAGCACAAGTTCAACACGCACCATACATAGGAAGAAACTTCCTGTCACACTATGCTGTCTTCTAACTGCTCTCATACAGGGCCCTATTCATTGCCTACTTAACAGCTTGTTTTGCAAAGTACGATTTCTGCTAATCGACACCTCATAGGCACAACCATACTTTCAAGTTCAGTAGAAGCAATAGAAGTATTAGTTTTTCCTTTTGCACAGTTCTTTAAGAGTAGAGTGGTAGGAAGAAATGTTGAGGCTGGACATCTCTGAGAAGATGCCTGTTTCCTTTCTCGACAATGCATCATTATGGTGATGCTTTTATTCATGAAAAGTATCAGATTGAGAAGTAAGCTATTTTTAAACATAATCCAAGATCGTAATGCATAGTCATCCGTGCTGTTAGCGGATGCATGGCATTCCTCAGCAACCAAAGGGGATCATTAGCAGCTTCTGAACACATTTTTTTTTTCCAGAAACTTTTGTGGAGCTGTCATTCTGATGAGGATCAGGAAAATCTCCAAAGAGAGCCTCCCTTTGGCTTTGCTCCCCCAGGCTAACGAGCTCCACAGCCGGTTTCACGTCTTAGCCAGTCTGCTCGCTGTCTTCCTTTTCCTCCTCAGTCTGCTCGCTGTCTTCCTTTTCCTCCTCAGTCTGCTCGTTGTCTTCCTTTTCCTCTTCTGTTTCAGTTTTTTTTTTTTTTTTTAAATAACACCAACTCTTATCTTTGCAAAGCAAGTTTGGGCCAAGTAGTATAATTTAAATTTTTGTCTAATAATGTATATGTAAGATAAACTCTGTCATTGCAGAAAACTTCTTCCCAAGCCTTAGTATGTGTCTACCACATAGAAGTTATTTCTTTCTGTTTTATTGATATTCATCTTTCAGTTCAAAGCAAGTCTTGATTTTGATTTTTTTTAAAAAAAACTTGCTTTCCTTTTGACTTGACTTTTTTTTCCACTCCTAGACTTTATTAATACAGTAATTCTTTTGCCATTAATTCACTACTTAGGTTAGACTACACTATTTTAAACACATAGAATTTTATCCATATTTAGACTCATTGTCATTTTGCTTATCATATTTTGTTAAGTAATGTTAATAAGCATAACCCATTAGTGATTTTTTAAAATTATTTGTTTAAAAGTGAAAGGGATATTTAAGAGAAAGTGTTTCCCTAGTTCAGTCTAAGAGCTCAGTGTTGGTTGTGTCGTTCACTGATAATACAACCTTTTTCTGCTTTTTAAAACACTCTGTGTCGGGGCTGGAGAGATGCTCAGCAGTTCCCACAGAGGACCTGAGTCCGTTCTCATCACCCATGTGCTGGCTTACAACCCTTTGAAAATCAGAGCTAGGTTATTTATGCCTCTTCTGGTCTCTGCCGGCACCAGGCATACACGTGATGTACATACATACGTTTAGGCAAGACAACCAGATATATATATATATATATATATATATATATATATATATATATATTAGAATAAATAGATCTAAACCTTTTAGGTCTAAGTCCTTATCTATAACTCTATGAATAAGAATAATAGGATTTTTTGTAATTTGATTACTAAAGAAATAAAGTGAAACTATCCAAACACACTCACAATGAATGTGTAGCTAGTAGCTTTAGATTGCTTATGTTATGTTCTGTGGTAGTCAAGAATCCTACAAGATGATTCTCCAGTGATCATAGTGAAAATGTAACCGTGGTTATGTGGATTGTGTTGATTTCAGCTCTTCCAGGATCTGCCCTGTGTTTAACTGTTTAAGAAGGACACTGTTTTAATTGGTGAGGTGTACTTTTGAGATATAATTCAATGCTTCAGTAAATGTAAAGCATCTATTTCTCATTTTTCTGCCAAGAACTTTTTCCGTGCCTATTATTTAGAAGGTGTTGGATTGGATCCAGTGGAGAATGTAGAGGTAAATAGCATTCTTTCTCACCTCAAGAAATTAAGAATAAAATTACTAGATACATAGACTTCCGAAGAGTCATTTATTCTATACACTGATTTTTCTATGTGCACAATTTGTCTTATAACACTTATTTTTTTTAGTTCAATGTGATATACTTATCATTCAGAATGTTAAATTAATTATTTACCTGATTTGTGTTCATCTAATTAACCAAAGCCTGATTGAGATAAATTATTAATGCTGATGCCATAGTGTCTCTGAATTTAACTATTTAATGTTATTCTCAAAGTTTGGTATGCTTTTCATAAACTTTATAATGTACCTTTGCTTTGTTATTTTTATTTTCTTCTCTAAACATCACCACTGATAGCTGGGCCTGAATAAGTGTGTTTTCTGAGGTTGTCTTACACACTGCAGTGTACTTCACAGCGCCGCTGGCCTCTGCTTCCGAGGTGCCGCTCACACTGCAGCCCACTCGTGGCACCATAGATGTGTCTAGAAACTGCAGACACCCTCTATGGAACAGAACCCACTCCTGTTCACCACCTCCCTTCCCTGTCTTTCCACTTCCCTTCTCCATATGGAGATGGTCACAAGTAATAAATAGTTTTTAAAAAATTAAAAAAAGTGGAGCAGAGCAAAAAGATCAGACTAATTCACAGATGGAGAATGGTTCTGTAACACTTCCGTTATATGTGTTTGTGTATGTGTGTGCATGCATACGTGTAAGCATGCTCTATAGTCTAACAA